CCCCAAAACCCCAAAACCCCAAAACCCCAAAACCCCTTCCTAGATCAGCATGATTGAATTTATTTCTGAGTTCTCATCAACAAAGTATTATGCGTGATTGAACGCGCTTTGTACACGTTCATTGTCAAAGCATCACTTTGCACAGGTCTGACTGGATGCGAGACTGGCCCCTTCTTCCTCCTTAGTAAGACTTTGGCCATATCTTCTTTTTTCCTTTGCTCATTTACTTCATTGTACATTTGCTTCATACTGTCTTTGAAGGCCTTGTACATTGCAGTGTCCTCTTCAGTCTTGGCAATTTTCTTGATGAACTTCTTTTTATTGTATGAGAGTGCTTGAGCTTCTCTAAAGCGTCCTTCTCTAGCAAGATTTGATGCTTGCTGGGCTGCGCTCACAGCTACAATACCTATGTTCACATCTTGCTTGACTTCTTCGGCGTCTGGAGAAGTCTCAAGAACTGTTGAGATTACTCTAAGATATTTGGTACCATCGAGTCTGCAGTATTCGATCTGAGTCTGGAATGGAATCTTGCTGAACTCTTCAATGTTGAAGCCTTTGATGAGAGCAAGTTGATCAGGGTCTTTGAGTCTGTATCCAAAGGCTACTTCAGTCTGAGAGTCTACATTCCCAAGTTTCTTCGTCATCAGGGTTTTGTCAGCACTCAAATTCTTGCTGAGCTCATTCTTGAACTCTAGCGCTTGATGCAGTCTCACCTTTACAGTGACGTTGGTGGCTATAGGCTTGACCTGTAGCATTGTCTCAAACTCATTGTTTGCATCTTGAGGGTCAATGATGTTGACTTGGCCTCCAGTTTCTTCGCTGAGAACAATCAAGTTGTTAAGGTTACAATAACATCCTTTGAGGCTCATGAGGTTGACTGTGACTCCATGCTTATTGGCATTATCAGCAAGGTCTTCATAGAACTTATCGACTCTTTCCTTCCAGTCAGAAGTTTCTTTGTATGCGTCTTGGGATCCTACACCTAAGTTGGTTTGTCCGTCTGTTCAGATCACGACTGTGGCTCCATTTCCTACAACACCAGCCATGGTGATGGCTGTGAGAGCGCCAGGCCCGAGAGCAGTCATTCCTCTAGGTTTCATCTTCTTAACCATGGCTGTAAGCTTTTCATGAGTAAGGCTGACTGGCTGGGACATATGAGTCATGGCTAGCTTCTTCATACTGTCATATAAGTACTTTTCATCGTTGAGAGCTTTGCCTGGTTCTAAAAATTAACATTCATTAAAATATCTTACTTATCCCTTTTGGTTTGCCAGTTCCATCTCCGTAGATGCCTACATAACTGCAGAAATAGACGATTCCAATCTTTTTATTGGTCTCTTTGAATGCTTCTATCTGGTTACAGATGCCTTGAGCAATGCAGTCATATCTAGTAGGTGCGTTAGGGTTCTGATCATTTTTATTTGCTGGCGTATTCATTGAACTACTCATGTCGATTCAGAATATCAGAGGTGTCTCTGAAGCATCATCAATAGAAGTTGCAGCCGAACCTTTGACTTCTTCATCTTGCTTGTACTCATTTGCTTCGCCTTCAGGCATCTCAAGTATGTAATTGAGGTTGCTCTCACCCCTCTCTTTGTCAGGCACTTCATGTTCATCCAAATTTATTTCATTTTTATTGTTGCAGAACTCTCAGATCCAGACTCTAGATTCGTTGTCATCACCTTCACCTTCAGGTTGCTCAAGATGGCTGTGGACATTCAGAACTGCACTGCAGTTGGTACAGAACACAGGGTCTCCAGTGGTGAAGTCTTCAGGCTCGAGAGCACTCATGTTGACTTTCATGACATTGGTGTCAACATCATTCTTGAACTTGCGGCCTTGTTTCTTGACTCTTTGCTTAACTTTCTTTGGAGCTGAAATGTCTATAATATAAGTTAGCCTTATGGAAGCAAAATGGGTGAGTACCTTCATCATCAGAGTCGAAAGGGCGATTGAGCTCATCAGAGTTGACTTCCCAATCATCAGGGTCGATGTAATCTCCTTCCTTATCCTTCGCCTTGGCTTTAGATTTGATATAAACTTTATTGGAACAGCAATCCATTTGTAATTTATTGACTTCTAAAAAATGAAACTTTATATAGTTTGCATAATGATATTTCTATGGTAAATCTATTCAAGATGTCAGAAATACCTTGGGGTTTTGGGGTTTTGGGGTTTTGGGGTTTTGGGGTTTTGGGGTTTTGGGG